TGGTACCTAACACTACAGGGAGATAACTCTGTAAAAATCAGCTAAACGTTTTAATCACGTTGTATTGTTAAGGAAATATTAAGCTTCTCAATGATCAAAATTAGTGTTTGTCAAACTGCTATATAACCAATGAAATTTTTCTGATAAAGTGGTTGGTTCAAATTTTTTGAAATTTTTATATTTTTGTCAAAGGGTCAAAGTAAACATTTTGTCAAAATTTTATGAAAATTAAACGAGCCAAATTAATATTAGTCAAGGTGTTGGGAACCACCTTAAGGTTTCGTAAAAAAATTAGATTAAATAGTATTTAACCTACACCTTTAACCCCTTTTTCTCAAAACTCAATTAAAAATGTTTTACTATTCTATTATCTTGTTTATAAATAATTTGACAAATAACAGTACTCATGATTTTTCTTCTTTTGTTCTTTTCCTTTGGAAATTGCCTCAGTGGCTTGTACACTTCGTTAGTGCAGTTAGGAGATCACTTTCATAATTAAGCTACAATGAAAAGTCATTCATCATGTTTTTTTTTTGTTTTTGTATTTTGTTTTTTTTGTATAGTAGCATTTTTAATGCATGGAAAGCTATGTACTAGGAAAAATAGAAAGCAAAATACCGATTTTCCATTGAACGAGAAGGGGTGAGTATGTTCTAATTCTCAAATAATCCTTTATCGAAAATTCTGGTGATTGAAGCACGTGTTTTTGGCTATGTCAATATGTAACAGGCATTTGTACGACTTTGCCCCCAGCAGAGCTATAGAAAAACAGTACATTAACGGGTGTTACACGGACACTTTTTAGATGATACACGGACACTTTTTAGTTGTTACACGGACACTTTTTATGAATAGAATCACTCGTGCATGATCAGTGAGTTCATGGGCACTTTAAATTTCAATTAGATTTGAACTTTTTGTTTCACCGACATATTTCCTGTCTTTTTAATTAAAATATTTACGTTAGCATCAATAACTATATTTTTTTTCAAACAATTCCAGTAACTATTCATATTAGCACACTAAGGGATTGACCATTTAACTTCAAAAGGTGGGTTAAGGTTTTTTCCTAAAAAAAAACTTTTTGATCCCCAAATTTATGAGGAAAAATATATAATATATTATAAAGTTGAAAAACTAAATAATTTTCTTACTCAGAAAAGAACACCCCCCCCCTTTTGAAGCTAAATGGTCGGTCCGTAAATGTGTTTTTTTTTCAATATATGGACATGAATAGTATTCTGGACAATGCTGAAAGAAGTACTGGTACCAACGTTTATATTTCAATAAAAAAGACAGGAAATATATATAAAAGAAATCAAATCTAATCAAAAGATAAAATCCCTATCAACTCACCAATGCACGATTGATCCTATAAATAAAAAGTGTCCGTGTAATACATGTTCAAAAAGGCAGCAAATCTTGAAGAAAATCATTCAACTTATGTCATCAATTTTGGACGGTAAGCTCTGATTGGATCATATAATGACACGTGTTTAATCCTGATCAACACTATCAGAGATATTATAAAAACCTATAAGCATGAACATTTTTTTTAATCCAAAATATATGCCTATATATATCTAATAACAAGACAAAATCCATTTTTTCATAACATTTCATTCACTAATGAGATAGGAAATTCATTCTTTTGATACACTTATATAGTTATTGAATTCATATATTTGGCGGCAAACGTACGATTTTTAAGAATATTTTAGGGGGAATTTATCTTAACTCCCCCTTTTCCCCCAATAAAAATCAAATGGTAGCTTGCTTACCTCTGAAATCTTTTTTTTATACATTACTTACTTGCGAAGTTGCATTTAAAAAAGTCTCAAATGTGTATAACATTCACCTTTAACTTGAAATGGTTCTTTTTATAAAGTTATTAGATTCTTGAATTTTTTGAGAAAAAAACTCTCGGCTGAAGGGAAGTGAGAAAAAAAAATGAGTTTAAACTGTAAGTTACATTAACTGGTATATGGCCATTTAAGTTTCTAATATCTTTAGTTTTGCTACCTCTTCTAAATGTAAAATGTACTTCTTCCTTCTTGAAACGTCGTACAAGTCAGATACAAAACAAAGGTAACAAAAAACAGGCCGGAAACAACCTGCCTTATAGTTTGTCTGCACTTGTAGTCAGGTCAAGGTCCTCGGCTATCGCCTCGGACCTTGACCTGACTACTCGTGCAGAAAAACTATCCGGCAACGGTTGTTACCGGCCTGTTTCTTTGTTACCTTTGTATTGTATCTAATACTTAACCGGTAACACAATTTAGATAACAAAAGATTTCATAATTGGTACACGAGCTCAGATTGAACTTTAAACAGTGCAAATGGTTAGAGAGAAAACAATATAAATAAAGGTTATATATATATTTTATAATTGTATCTTGAAAGGATAAAATTATATGAAAATGCAAGACTTCAAAGTGTAAAGAATCGAGGGAAGAAAAGTAACAGTAAATAATTATAAACAGATGCTGTTTTTTATATAATATATATTATATACAGTTTTTATTTTTTCCACCCATTTGTATTTTCGCTGGTAAATGGGACATGTTAAAAGAAAGCCGGGACCCCTCTGTCAGCTGCCCCGGACTGCTAGGCTTTATGTATTCCAGGTGATTTAAAATAAAAGATAGTACTCATAAAAAAAATGAAAAAAAAATGAGACAGTAACCCATTGACTGAGGATAAATAGGTACAAAAATAGGCTTATGTCAAATTTTACTAAGGAATTAACATAAGTGAACCACATCTCTCCTTCCAAATTTTCCAATTCATCAAGGATCACAACTCCTAAACGACAAAAGTGAAAATCGTCAATATCGAGTTTGACCTCCACTAATTTTGTCATCGTCATCAGTAACAACATTTTGAATTAAAAAAAAAATATTTTGGTTAAATGGAGGTTCACAAGTACGGAAACGACAAAAAAATCTATTATCCGATCTATCAAGGACCATAACTCCTGAACGACATAAGTGGAAATCGTCTTCACCAAATCTGACCTCCATTTTTGTCATCAGTAACTACATATTACAATTTGAAAATCGTTGGTTTAACAGTTCATAAAAAGTAAAATCACAAAAATACTGAACTCCGAGCAAAATTCAAAAAGGAAAGTCCCTAATTATCAAATGGCAAAATCAAAAGCTCAAACACATCAAACGAATGGATAACAACTGTCATATTCCTGACTTGGTACAGGCATTTTCTTATGTAGAAAATGGTGGATTGAACCTGGTTTTATAGCTAGCTAAACCTTAAAGTTATTGCACTGAAACGACATAAATATATATACAGTGCCATTTTCCAATTTATCAGGGGCCCGATGATAACTCCTGAACGGCAAAAGTGAAAATTGTCAATAATATCGAACTTGACCTCCAGTTTGTTATCAGAAACATTTGCAGATGCGGATCAAGGATTTTGAAAAAAGGGACCCCAAGCTAGACAAAGTTTGGAGTGGAACCGGTAAAAAGTCTGGATTGACCATAATTGACTTTGTAGTTCCAAAAGGGGGGTCGGGGTAAGGTTCATTAAGTATTGCTCGTTAAACTGTTGGCAGAATATTTTTTCCTTTTGGAACTCATATTATGAAGGAACTTCTATTCCGTGACATGCCAACAGTTTTGGCAAAAAAAACTTTGTCTAGCTTGGGGTCCCTTTTTTCAAAATCCTTGTGTCACGGAATAGAAGTTCCTTCATAATATAAGTTCCAAAAGGAAAAAATATTCTGGAATATTATTTCCACAGGAATAAATATTACAGTATATGTTCCTTACGGAATAAATGGTATAGAATATTTGTTCCAACAGGAATAAATATTATGACATTGTTTATAACAAAGTTTCCAGTGGAACTTCTGTTAGGGGGAACAAATATACGTTGACAGGCAGTCGCCCGCCTCGCCCTGACGGTATTTCTTCATTTAAATAACCGGAAAATCCGATAACAGATGAAAAGCAATTTTATTGGAAAAAGCAGAGATTAATAAAAAAATCATCGTGCCAAATAATGATACGTGTTGAAAAGTTGACGCATACTTTTCACATTTTAATATCCTATTACCATGTTTACAGTATGTTTAGTACTTTGATATCAAATCATAGTCGAGCATGCCGATGAGAGCGGACGTGAAAATTTTTGCAGAGAGAATTTTTCAACATCATTGAAATTGTTTTGTCAAATTGGTTTCATGGATAGCTATTATTATCATTACATAGTATATTTTATGTTCTGGATTATATTTTTTTGTTGAAGAAAGTTTCTGCAGATATTTTCAGGCGGTTTGTTTGAGACATGTGGTCAGATGCGATCCATTAGTAGTTTCCATGTGGGAAACTATCAGACCAATCTATTTGTTGTCTGAGGGTTTTAGTTGTTCCCCTATGCCTAATAGATAGGTAGTTTCTCTTTATCGTAGGATTTTCGGCTTTCCTCTACCCGGAAAACAGTTGGGCGTCAGTCTAGCGGTATCAGTATGTCCTTATCGGTTTCCCGTTCGTTGCCAAGGCATTTGTGCGGCATCCGGGTCGACCTTATCCCTTTTTTGTATATAATTATTTTTATATTTTGCATTATTTTATATTTTGAGGATGAGCGAATCAGGTGAGTGGGTGTGTTCGTATGTTTTATTGCATTGTGAATCATTGTACTAGTTGTTTTGGGGAAAGGTTAACACCCATCACGACCAGGCTGGGAAACTGCGTAGGCAAATGCTCACCCTAAATCTGTACCGATACAGTGTGTTAAATGTCTTCCTTCACACCATAACCCATGGTGGTGCTTCTACTAAAGGAGGAAGATACAGAACATACATACATCAAATTGATACACAGCACGATAATATTTAAAGAAAAGATATTTATGATATAGAATTAATTTGTAACGACCTAGTATTTTGCTTTCTTTTTCGATTATTTATTTAGAAGAAAAAGAGTTATTTTCAGTTTGTTATAATAAAATATTCGTGTGATGAATATCAATACAAGACAACATGGCGGCAAAAAAGAAAACAAACAAATCTTCTTCCTTGAAATACTTTATTATATGTTTTAGTATAATCCTGATGATGGCAATATGTATATATGCGTGGTCGTTATATGGTAAACACAATAAATTTCATAAAAATTATCAATCGCAATAATAAGATGACAGTGATTTCAGCATCTCGTGACACTTGTCGTCTATGAGTTTGTTCCTTGGATTATGAATTTATGTTGACATGATTCTTTTTATCATGAATCACAGGGGCTCTGGAATCTTATTTTAGAACATAATGTGACATATTTCTTTAAAAAGCAATGGGGCTTATAAAACAATTGTCTTTTTCTCAGTGTTTTCATTGGGTAGAGATCACACAACGTTTCAAAATAAGATTCCAGAACACCTGCCTGTTAGTGTTACCTGTTACCTATTCTGCATATTCCACCTTTTCCAGATGAACCACTTCAGTTGGTAAATCCTCTTGAAGTGTAGAATCCCTTATACTATATTTATTGCATGGTGTCAAATCAGTTACCAAACTGCCATAATATTATTTTATCCTATCCATCATTGAAATCAAAGTGAAACAAAAAGTTGTGTTTCAATTTCTAAAGTGAAAGTGAAAGTAGCATATGGTCATTATACAGTCAGGGGACTTACTTAAATAAGTGATTTTCTAAATCACTGATTCAAGTAACATTATGTCCATAAAGGTTGGAAGTAAGAGTTGTCTTTCTTTAATAATCACCTATTTAAGTAGTACAAATTAATCACTAGACTAAGTGATTTAATTCTATTGTAGCTTTAAATATAGAATACTAATGATCCAGGGACTAATTATGTTGCTAAAATTATCAGAACCAACATCTGTGTTGATAGGATGACCGGGTCATGTCAGGTGATGACGTTGTACTAAATCTAGGATAATGACATAAAAATCACTTGTTTAAGTATCATACCTCAATTTCCCTTCCAAAAAATCACTTCTTTAAGTATCATAATTTTAATAACCCCCACTAATTTCAACACCCCCGAACAGTGAAATTTTGATCGCGAACAGTAGGATTTTATTACATAATCTATAAGAAGAAACCTTGAATTTTACAGGAAAAATACTCCCAAAAATCTGTTAAGAAAGTATCAGTCCATTATGTAAAGCCATTTTTATAGCATTTTTTCAACTAAAATAGAATTTGCAGCTAAATGATTGCATCAAAGGCATAAACCTTGCTGCTTAAAAGAAGCAAAAAGTTCATTTTTTTCAATTTTACTAATGAAAAGATATTATCTAAACCTATGTGTTTAAAATTTTGGTAAAACTACAAAATCGCAATTTGAGACAAAACTTCGAATTTGCTACTTAAATAAGTGATTTAAAAATCACTTATTTCAATAAGTCCCCTGACTGTTATAACAAATTTACATTTCAAAATAAGCAGAAATTGAAACCATTCATGTCATAAAGAAACAAATGGCACCTTGACCTCCCTGAATTTCGGGTCCGTTGGCCCAAAATCATGTTCGCTCCCTTTTTATTGATTTTGTGTTGAATAAAGTATATAACGTGTTTAAGTTAGTGTATTGCTGTAAATAAATTTTTCTTATTATTTCAAAACAAAGTGACATACTAAAAACATAAACCAGTTTCCTTTAGTGTTTAATTGTTGTATTATTTATTTTGACGAAATCAGAGACATATATGTATTGTATTATATTTGAGACTACTATAACATATAGTAGTCTCAGATTATATATCTCTGATGAAATGAATCATGAATAAAATATTGTCATGAAGATTAAGGCAAAGTTCATTCATCTTAGACTTGCGAAAGAACATGAAGAAAGGCGAAATTAAGATACTAAATCTTCATTGAGTTTACTCATACCAAGCTACATGTAACTAAATGCAGTATTTACATCAAAGTTAGTTATAACAACAATCATGATTTTCAAACACAGAATAATAATACCAAATTTGGCTTTGTAAATACCAATTAACAGTAATCATACATAATTACATGTAGAATTTAATAATTAATCATCAAATCATAAAAAAAAAAATATCTCATTTAAAAATAGAATTTTAAAAGAAAATTTAGATATTTTGATAAAAACATCTTAAAAAAATATCTAATAATTCAACCAGTAATTGAATAAAAATAGGCTGCGAACGAACCCATGGGGCGATGTGTAGGGTGTGAACATTTATTGGGAGCGAACAGACCTGATACCGACCTCCCTAGAAGTTTAGTAGATTGTACCGTAATTTGAAATAGATTTCATTTATTGATGATGAATGGATGTTTAATGTTTAGTGCAAAATATCACATGTACCTTTCAGGATGAGAACATGTTATGTGACATAGATATGAACCCTGCTTTGTAAAACGCTGACACACTGAACAAGATTTTAAAACGTGTTACTTCACAAGATGACAGCCTGAACAAACGGCGAAGAAGTCTTTCTTTTGAATTGTTTGCATTTTGAGCTTACTGGGGATCAAATCTACAACTTCATGCTCTCAAAACAAGCAGTCTAAATATATCATAAGACTTCAATGCTGTTACTATTAATTGAAATTAAAACTGTAATAAAATTATGTTCATACAGAACCCTGTTCATATAGACAATTAGACCGTTGGTTTTCCCATTTGAATGGTTTTACACTAGTAATTTTTGGGGCCCTTTATAGCTTGCTGTTCGGTGTGAGCCAAGGCTCCGTGTTGAAGACCATACTTTGACCTATAATGGTTTACCTTTATAAATTTTGACTTGGATGGAGAGTTGTCTCATTGGCCATGTTGGCACTCATACCACATCTTCTTATATCTAAATACTGTGTTAAATAACAATAATCAAATTGTTTTTCACATGAGTTCTATATCACATGTTTATGGAAGTCTAAAAAAGATTTTAAAAGTAACCAAAATCTATGCTAATTCATAATAATAATAATAATGAATAATAATATTCATAAAAACATGTACATGTCTTATTGACACTCTTCCTACATCTTTTTTATTACTACCTGTAACGTTATGTTATATAGGCACCTACGTTTCAATATTGTATTTATATTGTGTCATAGATCAAACTTATTTGCTCAGTGTATGTTTACTTGTTTTTGTTTAAATGTCTTTTTGATCGAGTTAAGCCATTTCACTTGATATTTTATAGTGTGTCTTTTTATGTTGTAATGTTACACTACTGTCTCAGGTTAGGGTGAAGGTTGGTGCCTGTTAAAACGTTTTAAACCCACAGCAATTTTTATGCAACTGTCCGAAGTCAGGAGCCTGTTGTTCAGTGGTTGTCGTTTGTTGGTGTGGTTCATAGGTGTTTATCGTTTCTCGATTTTTATATAGATTAGACCATTGGTTTTCCTGTTTGAACTGTTTTACACTAGTCATTTTGGGGCCCTTTATAGCTTGCTGTTCGGTGTGAGCCAAGGCTCCGTGTTGAAGACCATACTTTGACCTATAATGGTTTACCTTTATAAATTTTGACTTGGATGGAGAGTTGTCTCATTGGCCATGTTGGCACTCATACCACATCTTCTTATATCTAAATACTGTGTTAAATAACAATAATCAAATTGTTTTTCACATGAGTTCTATATCACATGTTTATGGAAGTCTAAAAAAGATTTTAAAAGTAACCAAAATCTATGCTAATTCATAATAATAATAATAATGAATAATAATATTCATAAAAACATGTACATGTCTTATTGACACTCTTCCTACATCTTTTTTATTACTACCTGTAACGTTATGTTATATAGGCACCTACGTTTCAATATTGTATTTATATTGTGTCATAGATCAAACTTATTTGCTCAGTGTATGTTTACTTGTTTTTGTTTAAATGTCTTTTTGATCGAGTTAAGCCATTTCACTTGATATTTTATAGTGTGTCTTTTTATGTTGTAATGTTACACTACTGTCTCAGGTTAGGGTGAAGGTTGGTGCCTGTTAAAACGTTTTAAACCCACAGCAATTTTTATGCAACTGTCCGAAGTCAGGAGCCTGTTGTTCAGTGGTTGTCGTTTGTTGGTGTGGTTCATAGGTGTTTATCGTTTCTCGATTTTTATATAGATTAGACCATTGGTTTTCCTGTTTGAACTGTTTTACACTAGTCATTTTGGGGCCCTTTATAGCTTGCTGTTCGGTGTGAGCCAAGGCTCCGTGTTGAAGACCATACTTTGACCTATAATGGTTTACCTTTATAAATTTTGACTTGGATGGAGAGTTGTCTCATTGGCCATGTTGGCACTCATACCACATCTTATATCTAAATACTGTGTTAAATAACAATAATCAAATTGTTTTTCACATGAGTTCTATATCACATGTTTATGGAAGTCTAAAAAAGATTTTAAAAGTAACCAAAATCTATGCTAATTCATAATAATAATAATAATGAATAATAATATTCATAAAAACATGTACATGTCTTATTGACACTCTTCCTACATCTTTTTTATTACTACCTGTAACGTTATGTTATATAGGCACCTACGTTTCAATATTGTATTTATATTGTGTCATAGATCAAACTTATTTGCTCAGTGTATGTTTACTTGTTTTTGTTTAAATGTCTTTTTGATCGAGTTAAGCCATTTCACTTGATATTTTATAGTGTGTCTTTTTATGTTGTAATGTTACACTACTGTCTCAGGTTAGGGTGAAGGTTGGTGCCTGTTAAAACGTTTTAAACCCACAGCAATTTTTATGCAACTGTCCGAAGTCAGGAGCCTGTTGTTCAGTGGTTGTCGTTTGTTGGTGTGGTTCATAGGTGTTTATCGTTTCTCGATTTTTATATAGATTAGACCATTGGTTTTCCTGTTTGAACTGTTTTACACTAGTCATTTTGGGGCCCTTTATAGCTTGCTGTTCGGTGTGAGCCAAGGCTCCGTGTTGAAGACCATACTTTGACCTATAATGGTTTACCTTTATAAATTTTGACTTGGATGGAGAGTTGTCTCATTGGCCATGTTGGCACTCATACCACATCTTATATCTAAATACTGTGTTAAATAACAATAATCAAATTGTTTTTCACATGAGTTCTATATCACATGTTTATGGAAGTCTAAAAAAGATTTTAAAAGTAACCAAAATCTATGCTAATTCATAATAATAATAATAATGAATAATAATATTCATAAAAACATGTACATGTCTTATTGACACTCTTCCTACCTCTTTTTTATTACTACCTGTAACGTTATGTTATATAGGCACCTACGTTTCAATATTGTATTTATGTGTCATAGATCAAACTTATTTGCTCAGTGTATGTTTACTTGTTTTTGTTTAAATGTCTTTTTGATCGAGTTAAGCCATTTCACTTGATATTTTATAGTGTGTCTTTTTATGTTGTAATGTTACACTACTGTCTCAGGTTAGGGTGAAGGTTGGTGCCTGTTAAAACGTTTTAAACCCACAGCAATTTTTATGCAACTGTCCGAAGTCAGGAGCCTGTTGTTCAGTGGTTGTCGTTTGTTGGTGTGGTTCATAGGTGTTTATCGTTTCTCGATTTTTATATAGATTAGACCATTGGTTTTCCTGTTTGAACTGTTTTACACTAGTCATTTTGGGGCCCTTTATAGCTTGCTGTTCGGTGTGAGCCAAGGCTCCGTGTGGAAGACCATACTTTGACCTATAATGGTTTACCTTTATAAATTTTGACTTGGATGGAGAGTTGTCTCATTGGCACTCATACCACATCTTCATATATCTAAATACTGTGTTAAATAACAATAATCAAATTGTTTTTCACATGAGTTCTATATCACATGTTTATGGAAGTCTAAAAAAGATTTTTAAAGTAACCAAAATCTATGCTAATTCATAATAATAATAATAATGAATAATAATATTCATAAAAACATGTACATGTCTTATTGACACTCTTCCTACATCTTTTTTATTACTACCTGTAACGTTATGTTATATAGGCACCTACGTTTCAATATTGTATTTATATTGTGTCATAGATCAAACTTATTTGCTCAGTGTATGTTTACTTGTTTTTGTTTAAATGTCTTTTTGATCGAGTTAAGCCATTTCACTTGATATTTTATAGTGTGTCTTTTTATGTTGTAATGTTACACTACTGTCTCAGGTTAGGGTGAAGGTTGGTGCCTGTTAAAACGTTTTAAACCCACAGCAATTTTTATGCAACTGTCCGAAGTCAGGAGCCTGTTGTTCAGTGGTTGTCGTTTGTTGGTGTGGTTCATAGGTGTTTATCGTTTCTCGATTTTTATATAGATTAGACCATTGGTTTTCCTGTTTGAACTGTTTTACACTAGTCATTTTGGGGCCCTTTATAGCTTGCTGTTCGGTGTGAGCCAAGGCTCCGTGTTGAAGACCATACTTTGACCTATAATGGTTTACCTTTATAAATTTTGACTTGGATAGAGAGTTGTCTCATTGGCCATGTTGGCACTCATACCACATCTTCTTATATCTAAATACTGTGTTAAATAACAATAATCAAATTGTTTTTCACATGAGTTCTATATCACATGTTTATGGAAGTCTAAAAAAGATTTTTAAAGTAACCAAAATCTATGCTAATTCATAATAATAATAATAATGAATAATAATATTCATAAAAACATGTACATGTCTTATTGACACTCTTCCTACATCTTTTTTATTACTACCTGTAACGTTATGTTATATAGGCACCTACGTTTCAATATTGTATTTATATTGTGTCATAGATCAAACTTATTTGCTCAGTGTATGTTTACTTGTTTTTGTTTAAATGTCTTTTTGATCGAGTTAAGCCATTTCACTTGATATTTTATAGTGTGTCTTTTTATGTTGTAATGTTACACTACTGTCTCAGGTTAGAGTGAAGGTTGGTGCCTGTTAAAACGTTTTAAACCCACAGCAATTTTTATGCAACTGTCCGAAGTCAGGAGCCTGTTGTTCAGTGGTTGTCGTTTGTTGGTGTGGTTCATAGGTGTTTATCGTTTCTCGATTTTTATATAGATTAGACCATTGGTTTTCCTGTTTGAATTGTTTTACACTAGTCATTTTGGGGCCCTTTATAGCTTGCTGTTCGGTGTGAGCCAAGGCTCCGTGTTGAACTTGGAAGTCTGTACTTTGACCTATAACTGTTAACTTTTTATCTTCTTATTTACATGACTTAAAAAGTTGTTTTCCTGATGTCATCTTGGAGATCTTTCATATGAATTAGTGTGCAAAATGAAAGATTTTAATGCTTTAGACCTTGGTCTATGATAAATTTGTAAATTGTTTGCTGATTAATTTCTTATAGAGCATGCATACTTTAAATTTTTATAGCACTGAAATTTTTGATAGAAAATTTGTCAATGGGATAATAAATACCGGTAAATAATGAATAAGATTTATTCAGAGTCAGCATGGTATACAAAACTAGGACATAACATAAGCTTTGTTGATCTTTAAACCAATATAAAAAACCAGGAAAATGTTTATGATAAGCCCTAGCCAGATTTTACAGAATGTGCCAAATATACATTAACAGCATGTCCTTTTCATCTTTTCAGATAGATTATATAAAAGACAACAGACACATCAGTCTTCAGAATGGAGTTGGTCTAGCCTATCATGGACATCTAAAGATACAGACAATCTCAAAACTTCACTTGAAATAGTCAAAGAAGATCTATACACAATTTATTTTGCACTTCTTTCAGCTGTTTGTTTATTTGTACCAAGGGAGACAACTTCGATTATATCTGCAGTTTTTCTGACATTGGCAGGAATTTTAACATTTTGTTATTCGAAAACTATTTATAATCAAAAGAAAAAAAGACCGAAAACTTCAGTAAAAGCAGGGAGTAACAATCAAAATGAAGATGTTATCATTAAAGAAGAAACAGATGTTTTATCAAAATCAAAATCATCAAAACCATCTGGCTTTAGAAATTGGTTGATGTTTTGGCGCAGAGGGCAAAATCCTGCAATAAAGGCAGAGAATAGTACACAAAATGGAGACACAAATGTGACTAGAACTACTTACTTATATCCCACAAAATTGTATAGCTTATTATCATTTAAGAAGTTTTTAATTTTATTTATATTTTTAATATTTTTAGTCAGTATTCCATGGGAATATGTTCGACTGTTTCAAATTGAAGTAGCAAAAAGAATGGCAGTTATGGGGAAGGTATGTAAGATCAATAAAACATGTGACAATGTAGTAGTAGTCCATGGTAGAGTAGACTCAAGGATAAATTATGAAATCAGTCTTGAAAGTGATCTATTAATGATTCACATAGGGATTGATAGTGAGCATATTTCTATTGAATGTACAAAGAGTTATTTACTCAAAATCACCCACATTCGCTGTGAAAATACACCAATGAGAGAGATTGGAAACTAAATTCCTTTTTGTGTACATTTACATCACCATAAAAAAATCACATTTTTATTTCAAACTATAATAAACATGTACATGTTTATCTGTACATGTTTATCACTGTATGGTAAGATATACTCAAAATTTTGAAATTTAAAGTTTTATTTTTCCAAAAAATGTTATGGAATTTATATCACAACATAATTAGAAATCACATTTTAAGTTCCTATCAACATGATCAAGTAACTGTAAACTCAGACATACTGATGAACCATAACATACTTTAATATTTAAATATTTTTCTAGGAACTCCAGGTTTCTAGTAAAATGGAATTTGTACTTGGTCTTTTAAACTATAACATAATCAATGATGGGATATATATCTTTATTATACATCCTGTCAAAATGCCAGATTATGATTGGTTGATATGAGGGAGACAATTTACTCTATCCTATGGTAAATACTCTTATTACCCTTCACGGAGACGCTTGATCAAGTGTGCGATTTATGAAATACAGATGGTTGTTATGTACAAGACATCATAATTTATTCCTTTGAATTTGAAAATTTAATAGACTGTAATAACAGAATATTCAGTATAATAAATTAAATAACACACACTGAGAGGGTGATAGAGCAGATTGTTACCCCTCAAAAAGACATTGTCAACCTTGGCTTCGCCTCAGTTAACAATGTTTTCTCGGGGTAACATTCTGCTCTATCACCCTCTCAGCTATGTGTTACATTTATATATTAATGCATTATTATACCCTTAACTCCAACATATCTTTTTTGTCTTTGTCTACAACAATCCTTAAATATGTTTTTAAATTTTTTACAGGGAGTTCCCAGTGAATGTTATCCAGAAAGAATGACAATCACAGAAAGTGTACGGTATTGGATGTTGTTACAGTTGTCATGGCAACATGATCCCTGTGAGAAATATCATACAGCTTTATTAGTGGATCCATTATGGGAGATAACTCCGTTAATGGTAAGATATCCAAAAAAAAACAAATATGTAGGGATTTTACTGTTTTAATAATTTTTTCGGGTATAACAGAGAATAAATTGCTGAGCTGATTGGTCTATATTTGATGTGTAACCTTACCCCATACATGTCAAAGCACCATTTCTAGGAGGGAGACTTTCTCTTTTTCCTTTAAAAATTTGAAATCAACTGCAAGGGATGTCAAAATCTCCCTCTTTGACAAAAACATTCTATTTTCACCCCTTCCTCATTTCAGTAGTTTTGATAGTATTTTCTGTTTTTTTTTTGTTTTCTATGTCTTGTAAAAACAATGCTTATTTGTATAGTAAAAAAACATTCTAGGTCTTCATGAATGTTTTGTAACTTGTTTTACTAATTACATCTGTGTATAGATGTTTGTGCTGAAAGATAAAGATACTTTTTTTTTCAATTTTTTCTGATTTATATATAAAAGCAAATAATAATGATATGGTTTGAATAGGTAAATTAAAAATTTTTAAGTTCTTAGACCACATTCATTCCGTGTCAGAAACCTGTGCTGTGTCAAATATTTAATCACAATCCAAATTCAGTGCTGTATCAAGCTTGAATGTTGTGTCCGTATTTGCCCCAACTGTTCAGGGTTCAACCTCTGTGGTCGTATCAAGCTGCGCCCAGCGTAGCATTTTATTTTATTGTAAAATGATGTCACCCATAATCTCCGCCTTAGTGGAGATGGAAAGAGGGAGATCTACAGCTTTGCCCTACCTTAACACATTACTTTGACTTCCACATAAACCTAAATGCCCCTTGCTAAATAGAAAATCATGAAACATTTTGTTATATAATTAATTTAACCTGGTTTAACCTGTTGCTATAACAATATTTGAAAAAAATCTTTTTATTTTGTTTTTTGATGAAGTGTTTAACTTATTAAGTATAATGAAAAATCAGTTCTATCAAATTTAAAAAAATTACACTTGGCTGGACTCTTTATCAGATAAGATTTTAAATATTTCTATGATCTTTAATAATTTTACGTTATATCTTAAAGACTTTGTAGATTGATCTGTAGATGGAATAATAGCTGTATAAACTGCTTTTAGACAAAGCTTTACCTTGTACACTGTTGTAGTGTTCAGAAATAAGCAAACTTTTACGACTTGTGCACTAGTATTTAGATTGAGTTATCATCAGCACACATTGGCTACATGGCTGTTAGAAAGATTAATATAAAAATGACACTAAAAGTTAGGCAAAAGACTTTGGGGCCCTTTATAGCTTGCTGTTAGGTGTGAGCCAAGGCTCCGTGTTGAAGACCGTACTTTGACCTATAATGGTTTACTTTTATAAATTTTGACTTGGATGGAGAGTTGTCTCATTGGCACTCATACCACACCTTCTTATATTTATTGTCACATAAATGTAGATTAAATTTTATTTGAAAATTCAGAAATTATTGTGTGCATTTATTATTGTGATGTTTGTCGAGCCTGCGACTTTTGTCGCAGAAAGCTCGACATAGGGATAGTAATCCGGCAGGCGGCGGCGGCGTTAGCTAACTTCTTAAAAGCTTTATATTTTAGAAGGTGGAAGGTCTGGATGCTTCATACTTTGTATATGGATGCCTCATGTTACAAAGTTTCCGTCAGTCACATGTCCAATATCCTTGACCTCATTTTCATGGTTCAGTGACTACTTGGAAAAAAAGTTAAGATTATTTGTAATGTTAAATTCTCTCTTATTATAAGTAATAGGATAACTATATTTGGTATGTGCGTACCTTGCAAGGTCCTCATGCCCGTCAGACAGTTTTCACTTGACCTTGACCTCATTTCATGGATCAGTGAACAAGGTTAAGTTTTGGTGGTCAAGTCCATATTTCAGATACTATAAGCAATAGGTCTAGTATATTCAGTGTATTGAAGGACTGTAAGGTGTACATGTCCAACTGGCAGGTGTCATCTTACCTTGACCTCATTTTCATGATTCAGTGGTCAAAGTTAAGTTTTTGAGTTTTGGTCTTTTTTTCTAATACTATATGCAATAGTTCAACTATATTTGGTGTATGGAAATATTTTATGATCTATTTGTCAGTCACGCAGGTTTTTTTTTACCTTGACCTCATTTTCAAGGTTCAATGCTCAGTGTTAAGTTTTTGTGTTTTGGTCTGTTTTTCTTAAACTATAAGCAATAGGTCAACTATATTTGTTGTATGGAAGAGTTGTTAGCTGTACATGCCTGCCTAGCATGGTTCATCTGACCTTGACCTCATTTTCATGGTTCATTGGTCAATGTTTAGTTTACTTGGTTAATGTTAAGTTTATGTGACAGTTGTAATAAAGCTTTATATTTAGGACTATCAACATACTATCAATGATTAGTAAAGAAGGCGAGACATTTCAGCATGTGCACTCTTGTTGAAGAATGGATAAAAATGCGAGATTAGTTATTTGGATTTCAGACAAATCTGCCTACAGCTTTGCGTATCACATATCAGAATGCGACTTCTTATCATCGAGATACTCACCCAGTACCATAATTGGCATTAATAAAAACCTCCCAATAATTTCTGAATTTACAGTATTTGTAAAAATATGAGAGAAAATCATAATTATATGTCTTTCTAGGATGACTTGTGTTTCTGCAGACTGAAACCTTGTTAATTTAGGGCTGTGCCAAAATTTATCGGGGTGAGAAATGGGAGACATTCAATTTAATAAAATATGAGGGGTTGCATTTTCCTCAGATTTCTTTAAGAATTATAAGTACAATGTAAAATGAAAATTTTGATTTTATGGGTGGTATAACAGGGTCGGAAAAAAGGGTCTCCGCTGCCCCCTTTGAGATTAATTCTGGAACAGCCCTTAGTATAGTCTGCTTCACTGGTCATTAGATGATCGTTATAAATTCATTATAATCTTCAGATGAATCATTACCTTTATAAATTAGAGTTGTCTCCCTCTCTATGCTACATTGTATTTCATTGCACAAACTGTTTTATGTAACAAGGATTTTTATGATTTATAAATAAAAAGGTATATTTTTGTAAGAACCTGAAACCTATTTGTAATATTTAAGGTAGATCATCGGTATATATTTCCTCAGATAGAATTTTCTTATGACTTAGAAGAGTGTTAGCTTCATGCACAAATTATTACATGTTCTCGTAATTTCTGCTTCTTGCTATGTTTTGTTTAGCTTTAAAGCAAAGAAATGCGAGAGATACTCACAAAAATGTAACTACAAGGAAAAATAGCTATGGTGGTGTCTGTCCTTTATATGCCTATGTTCTCCTCAGTAAATATTCCTAGCGTAAATGAATTTGTTTTAGAATATGTTTATTACGGCACAATGGTATAATGTACAGAATAAACTATAGGAATAATTGTTACATGTAATTTTAAATTGCCATGTAAATTTGCATAAATAAGCGTAGCTGATCTAAATATAAATATAAGCATGTGTTTTAACTAGGATAGTGAAATGCCAAAGAATACTTGTATGGAAAATAATTTAGACCATGTGAGACATACAGCTATCTGCGCTGCTTCTTACCTCTAAAAAGGGAACCACTCGCATCTTTGCACTCATCAAGGTGTAAACAGCAAAGACTGCTGAATTTGACCTTGCTCTGGTATTTATTTATGATTTACCGAAGTTAACATTCTAAGCAGGAAGAAAAAACATAACGTCAAATGCTGACATAAAACATAGGAGTCCTCAACTCAAAATGATTCTTATTTCCTATGAAAATAAGTAAATCTATTATGATAAAGCATATATTTATATTAGCTAATGCTTCTTGTACAGCTTTGGATGCATACTTAGAATATTTACCAAATGTCTGCGCTTTCAACTGTACATGTCAAAATTGCACCATATGTGACATTTATGATACAGTTAGTAACTAAAAGTGAAACGCATGCTTGTTGTACATTTGAAAGTAACTGAAACTATAAATAACTACATAATATCATATCTTAAACTCTCAAAATACAAAACTGACAATAAATCATTACTTGGGAACCACCAGTGCACATTTACAACACAGGTAATTGATTGAATTAAGATATATATTATATTTCATTTTCTTTATTTCCAGGTTCTTTCATCAGTTATAACAAGATCTCTCCTTCATCCAATAGAACTATTCTTTGGTGGTATTGGTAAAAGTTTTAGACTTTTCTTCAATGAAATACCTGCACAGTGGCAGCCAATAATGCTTATCGTTATAGTTTTAGTATTTTTATTGACAATTGTGATGCTGTGTGGGTACAGGATATCACTACCTTTGATACTAAAAATAGAACCAAAAACTCCTGTGTCGTGCAAAACAAAAAGTCATACAGGACGTGATTCAATTGATGGCAATTCAAAGACAAATAAAGTTGATATAAAAGATAAAAAACAGTTAGAATATTCTCATGGATAGTCATGATAAATATGAATAAAGTTTTAATGCAACATATGATATTCACAGACTAAATTATGGATAGACTTGAAAATCCTTGTTAATTCTCCTAACCAAATGACAATGTTAGCTGTTGTCACCACTTGCCATTTGGTGTTGTCTTCTGTTGTTGTGAACTTTTTTTTCATAAACCATCTCCTCTAAATTAAGTGGAATAATTTAGAGGAAGTTAGTTCATATCTTAATGAAATCAAATTAAGGAGTTATTTTGTAATATAATCATTGTGATATTATATCTACTTTACATCAAACTACCTTAGCCCTGAAACTTTATAAATATTTAAGCCTAAGTGATAAGAACATACGAACAGACACACAGACCAAAACACTACATGTTCTGCTGTTTAACATAAGCTGAACCCAAAATTGGGTCATCAGTTCTTTTTTTCTGTATTTCACAAGCAAGTGCAATAACTGTTATTACATGTTTTAACTATAGGTTTCATAACGAGTGAGAATTGGATATTGCTTGATATCAACTTGAGTTATTTAATTTCAATATAATAATGAACGAGCCTGCTGCGAGTTTATTATTACTATTTAAATTGAGTAACGAGAGTTGATATCAAGCGATATCCAATTCTCAGAAGTTGTTCAACCTATTTCTCTTATTGTCAACACTCTCTTTGTGTTAAATAAAAAATTTTGCGAATCATTGATCTAGTCTTTTGCACATACCACTGTGGCGTCATATGTCCTGTTCTGGCATCAAACTTCAACATTTGACATTTCAAAACTGTTTGTACGCTTAAAAATGTGATAAAATTCGACAAAGATCAGATTTCAGGTGAAAAGTGTGGTGTTCTGTAAATTATTGAAGAAATCACATTGCCATGGCAAAAGGTACATCATAACCCTTTGAAAGTCATCAATTACCTAATGAATAGCCAATGAAAATGTCGAAATATCATCCCATGATGCTGGATAATCCAAATAAATTAACGCAGCTTTCGTATCACTTTTTCATATCACACACTATGCAGTGTGATACGAGAAATATCTCTTCCTGCAAGAAATAGATAACAGGCCACAACCATAAGAGAAATTGAAATATGCAATGTACCTCAATAAAACAGCAACCCAACAAAATTATAAATAACCAACAAAAAAAACAAGAGATGTGATTGGTTTACTCTTATATCATTTCTTAAATTAGATAGATTGATTGATTGATTGTTGGCAATTAAGGCCACTTTCAGCATTTTTGGCTCTATTGGGTAGCAATTTTTTTTATTTGAAGCTGAAGTACCTGGAAAACCACTGACCATCAGTATGAAAAATAACAATCCTAGACAATTAAGGATGTTTGCTCCTCTTGTTTTTGAATTTCTGCCAGATTTTCGGAATCCTCTGGTTTTATCCGTGTATTGCCATTAAAAAATTTGCCCACTTACCTCTACTTTTCTTTTCATAATTTTATTACATATTGTTTTAAAAGCCATATTTGAAAATCTTATAAAGTCCTTGTTATTTTTTCATAGTTTTTGAAACAAAAAAGCGGCTAATGTAAAAAGTATGAAAAATCTAGAGAAAATCATTTCCCGCCAAATTTTCAATGGCTTTTATCTCGAAAACAAGCACACGGACCCTTCATTTTTTTCTGCTTTTTTTGTTCCTTTATTTATATATATACTATCATTTTAGAACATTCTTTTAAAAATCTTGTTATTTTGAAACAGAGTAGCGAACATTCTTAAGGGTTGAGATCTCAAAAAACATGTTTAACCCTGCCGCATTTTTGCGCCTGTCCCAAGTCAGGAGCCTCTGGCCTTTGTAAGTCTTGTATCATTTTTAATTTTAGTTTTTTGTGTATAATTTGGAGTTTAGTATGATGTCCATTATTTCTGAACTAGTATACATATTTGTTTAGGGGCCAGCTGAAGGACGCCTCCGGGTGCGGGAGTTTCTCGTTGCATTGAAGACCCATTGTCTGCTCCATGGTCGAGTTGTTGTCTCTTTGACACATTCCCCATTTCCATTCTCAATTTTATTAAAATTGGAGTTGGCCGCACCTGCCACAAATTGGTTCAAACTCAATCAAAGAGGGAGAGTCCACAAAATACTACAACCAAAGAAAAATGAACCCTTCCAAAAATCTTTGGTTGAACTCAACAACTCCAGAAGGGCTAGGTTCCTACCTAATCCAGGAGTGACACCAGTTATGTTGTCCATGTTAAAATCTTATGATAGATGTTCATTGATACCATAGCCCATTGGTAGATGTGTCTTTTTTAACTCTCTTATTAAACATTATGAAAAAACCACCAGTATATACCTGTATATAAATTAACTAACGCTACAATATGATCGAACGTTAAAGTTTGAAATGAAATTATTTTCTCGTGACAAGATAAACTATGAACAATGAAAAATAAAATTCTCAGAAAGCAAGATAAAGATGATTCTTACTTAGAAACAAACTTGAGGTGAGTTTAAGTGCTTGTAATATGGGGTATGTTAAAAGTACCGTGATAAATTAACAGATACATCTTCAATTATGTGCTCAGTTATCACAAACATTCAGCAATTTTAATTCTACTGAGCATGCAGTAATTTTATATCAAAGAGTTGAGGATACAGGCTGACATACATCTGATACATGAAGGATACAGGCTGACATACATCTGATACATTAAGGATACAGGCTGATATACATCTGATAGGTTAAGGATACAGGTTGGCAAACTTCTGAAACATTAAGGATACAGGGTAGGCATACATCTGATATAGTAAGGATAAAGGCTAACTATTCTAATGAAATTCTTGAACTTTGAACCCTCCAGTGGCTGCGTAAAACTATTTGTATAAAGCTTTCTCTTAGGGTAGAAGACCAAGAGGCTTCATACCTTGTATACAGATGGCTTATGTTACAAAGTTTCCTTCTGTCATGTCCATTGTCCTTTACCTCATTTCATGGTTTAGCGACTGCTTAAAAAAATGTCAGGTTTTTTGTCATGTGAATGTCTTGCTTATTATGAGTAAAAGGATACTAGTAACTATATTTGGTATATGGTTTCCTTGCAAGGTCTACATGTCCCTCAGACCGGGTTCACCTGACCTCCACCTCATTTCATTGATAGGTCATCAAAGTTGAAGTTGCTTTATTAGGCCAGCTACTCATATAATATGAGTAGGTCAACTATACGTGGTCTATGGAATGATTTCAATGTGCACATGTGAGTCTGGCAGGTATCATCTACCTTGACCTCATTTTCATTTGTCAATGTTAAGTTTTTGTGTTTTGGTATGTTTTTCAAATACTATTTGCAATAAGGCAACTATATTTGATGAATGGGATGATTGTAAGATGTACATGTCTCTCTGGCGGTATCAATTGTATGGTTCATTGGCCAATGTTAAGTTTCTGTGATTTGGTTCTCTTCTAAGATACTATAAACAATAGGTCAACTTTATTCGGTGTATGGAATAATTATAAGGTGAACATGTCTGTCTGGCAGGGTTCATCTGACCTTAACCTTATTTTCATGGTTCATTGATCAATGATAAGTTTTCGGATACTTTAAGCAATAGGTCAATTATATTTGGTGCAGGGAATGGTTTTTCGGTGTACATGTCTGTCTGGCATGTATCATCTGACCTTGAAAGCATTTTTATGATTCATTGGTCAATGTTAAATTTCATGCTTTGGTCTATAATATTTCTTGTACACAATAAGCAATAGGTCAAGTATACTTTGTGTATGGAATAATTGTAAGGTGTACATGTCTGTCTGGCTTGGTTCATCTGCCTTGACCTCATTATCATGGATCATTGATAATGTTTAGCTTATATGATATTTGTAGCAAAACTTTATCTTTATTTTAGCTTGTGCACTTTTGTTTTAAGGTGGGGAGGGTCATGAGTGAGCTTTACCGACAGCACAATGCTCTTGTATTGATAATTCATTATAAGAACGGGAGACCTAGGGACTACTATCCGGCGGTAGTGTAAACGTTTTAGATAAAAGAGGGGGGAGGGGGGGGCAAGGGGTTTAACTGTTATGCTGTTTTGGGGCAATTTAATTCTTTGTTATCTGTTATTCTGAAATTATATTTGCTGTTAGCTGTTATTGTCTTATTCCTTGTTATCTGTTATTGTGAGAATGTATTTGCTGTTAACTGTTATTGAAAATTGGAATGTTAGCATTTTGACAGGCAATCTTCAGTAGAAATTGAATTGGGATCTTTCCACTAGTAACATGGTGGTACCGTATTCGGAGAAGGATTCAATTAACATATAGACATTTGAATGGGTTTACAGTACACTAGTCATTTTTGGGGCCCTTTATGGCTTGCTGTTCGGTGTGAGCCAAGGCTCCGTGTTGAAGACCGTACTTTGACCTATATTAATGGTTTACTTTTACAAATTGTGACTTGGATGGAGAGTTGTCTCATTGGCACTCATACCACATCTTCTTATATTAAATCACAGATCATCACATAAACATTTTAATATTAGTTGAGTCCAGGACCATAACAGTATATATTATTATTATCCTTTGTAATAAATTCCTTTTTCTATGAACATGTATTTAGAATTATCTTGATTTTTATGTAAAGGGATAACGATCCTTGTTTCCCTATATGTGCATATTAAATTCGAACAATTCTTTTCAAATATTACAAAAATTCGTAAGAGTTCCGTGGAATCCAGTACTAGTGTCTCGCCTACTTTTGATGTTAGTCGCAGGCTCAACAAAATGGGTAAAAAGTGATTAAATTAATGGGGAATGTGTCCATTGGACACAGATAATGCC